CCCCAAAACCCCAAAACCCCGATCATCCAAATACATATGTTTCTCAGACTCATTATTCAGATCTAAATTATAATATAGTTATATTAATACTTGTAGACAATTAGTTGTGAATTTGATAGAATTTTTATTTCTTTTTAAAATGAGTGCCTAAAACAATCCCATTTCTGTTACAGCCTTTGATCAACCCTCTCCTCAGGGGCTTTCACCCACTAATGAAAACCAAGATTTTAACAGTATTAAACTGCCATATATCAAAAAAGGTCTGGAAAGCGTTAATACTCCAGGAGAAACTCCAAGAAGATTGGGCGGTCGTTTGAAGAATCAAATGTCTAAACTAGATGTAAGTTAGAAAATTAAAAAAAAAACAGAATAAGCTGGATGGCTTTGTATAGAGTGAAGGACAAGCAAATATTATTAAAAGGAATTCTTGATTTCTTAACAACTTCTGTATAGCAACTGATACACATTTTAAAAAAGGGATTCAGGCAGAGAACTGAAAGAGATTTAGAGCAACTAGTTCCACTGATAAAAACAATTTAATTTTTTCAAGAAAGGGACATTAAAGATTCAGATTATGTGGAAATCGTTTCATGCTTGACTTATGAGCATTTCAACCCAAAAGACACAGTCTTTGAATTCGGTAATTAAATCAATGACTTTTGACTCCCTTACAGGCTAATTGGGTGATAAATTTTACATTATTCTTTAAGGTAGTGTCAGAGTATTAATACCTGACTATCATAACAGAGAAGTACTATTCCAGATTGAAGAATCTAAAGAAGAAGTAGCTTAGCTGTAAAATGAAATCAAGGAGGTTCAAGCATAAATCGACCTCGAGAAGAAACTACATGAAGAGTACTTGAAAAAGTTAGCTGAAGAGGAGGCGTACTTTGAAGAACATGATAAGACAAGTTATGGAAGCAGTGCCGCTCTATCTATGAAGAAAGGATCCTCTGCTTACGGCTAAAAAAGAAGGAACTCATTGAGAAGATAAAAGCATTTATCTCCAGCTAATTCTTCCAAAACAAATTCGAGGCATTAATCATTCATCACTCCTAGAAATGATCTTCTATTCAAACTGAAGGAGACATCTCTGTTTAAGGAAAAATCCTCAAATGTAACATTTAATGGGGACAAGAAATCGCTATTCTTAAAGAACTTGGTTGACTTATAGAAGTCTGCTATCTTTTCTGAGACTGAACTGGGATCAAGTGTTCAAGATTAGAGTATGAGTTCTCTCCCGAAAAACAAGAATCTACCATCTAAGGAAATGACTCTAGATGAAAAAAAAGCATTTCTGCTAACATAAATGGAAGAGCTAAAGTAAAGAATCGAGACTACACTATATGTTGATGTAGTTCAACTCAACACTGGTAAAAGTTTTGGAGAATTAGCACTTACTAAGAATAAACCTAGAGCTGCTACTATCAAATGTAGCTCGGAATGCCATTTAGCTATAATGAGTAAAGCTGACTATGATAAGGTACTCTTAAGAATCGAGCAAAAGAATTTAAATAAAATTTTAGAATTCCTGAATCAACTGCCCTTTCTCTAAGGGTGGTCAAAAGTTTAGCTTCAAAAGCTTTAATATGCTTTTGAGTTAAAACACTTGAAAAGAAATACAGTGCTTTATCGTGAAGGTGAGCATAATGCCAATGTCTACATCATAAAGAATGGAGACTTTGAAGTGTCCAAAAAGATTAAGGTCTCAGAGGGAGCAGAAGCAATGCTTGAATTACAAAATATGGCAACATTCGTTGGACCAGAGAAGTCACATGTTAAAAGACAGAATCCTAACGAGATCACATCATTCAAGGATTTTATGCACTCTAGAAAGACATCAGAAGGAGAGAAAATTAAACCTTAAAATCTAAATCAAACACTAACAATCCAAACCTAAAAAAAGAAAATATTCTTGAATGACGACAAACTCTAAGCCCTTGCAAATAACAAAATCATAGCAGCAACTGGAGGATAGTAAACAATGAATAACTTCAAAATTGCCTAGATTGGTGTGGGTTAGCTTTTAGGGGAGGAAGATGTTATATCGTAGAGGCATTACACTACATCAGTTACTTGCAAATCTAATTTCGGAGAGGTGTATTGTATAAAGAATACAGACTTTATTAAGAAACTAAAAGCTAATTCAGAGTCTTGGAAGATTGTTCTACTGATGTCAATGGCAAAAGAAAAGGCTATTTTCGATAGAGTTAAGAAGATTAAAAAGCTTATTAGAAAAAATTAGAAAGTATCAGAATAGGGCTTTGGTGGATTTGGAGTTTCTCTGTTGAAAGGCAATCTACTCCTCAACAAAAATGAAATTGATGTGAGAGAAAAATTTAAGGAAATCATAAATGACTATCCATTCGTAGAGACCCATAAGAAGATTGTCGAAAAAAATCTTGGCAAAGATGATTTAACCAAATCGCCTTAAGCAAAAAGAGATGAAACTAGAAAAACTATTGAAATTGATCTAAAAAATTTGCATTCCCGAAAGTAGAAGCTAAGATCAGAATTGCCATCAGTTAAGAACTAACGAGCGCTTAAGACTTTGACATCATCCCAAACTAGACTGGATAAATCTAGGAGAATGTCTAGGTCGTAATCACCAATGTATTTATAATAGTAGTCCACTTAACATTACTAAGGAGCTGCGAAACAAACTTACTTATCTTCAAAGATCGCTGATTTGATAGCTCAATCTGTTGAGAATCTAGGAGATGATCCTGACAGATAGAAAATATATCAAATCTAGAAATAATAAAAAGGCAAAAAGATCCTTTAAAAAAATACTGCTAAAAATAAATCCTCTAATCCTGATCTATAACAACAGTCTTATTAGCAGTAGTAATAATCATAATAGCTTAATAATTCAGTAATTGTCTACTCAAACAGCAATCTAAAGCTTAATTAAGACTCTAATGCATCTCTTGGAAATACTAAGTTTGTCAACAGTCATATAGCAAATACAATAATAATGAATAACTATTCAAAGAAAGATTTAATCATCTTTTAACCCCACACCTAGGCCAAGGTCAATTTTAATAATACAAAGATGCATTCCCCTTAATAAACAAATGCTATTTCAAAGCATATTCAAAGTAGGAATAATATACAGCAAGCAAGCATTAACAACATGAGATCTTAATCATCTTCAAGCATTCATAGTATAGGTAAAGTGAATCAAGCCAATATGACCTCAGTCAACACATCATTTAGGCATTAAAATTTCTAATCAGCTTACCCTGGGTTCAATTTCACCCAAAAATACAAGAATCCCCTAATAAGGAATACTAATTTCAATATCAATCTCTCCTTTTAAAATGAATAAGATTATGGAATAAATATGATTCAAAGACCAGATCAAACTAATTCTAGAAGAGAACTAAAAGACTACACAATGCCGTAAGGTAGGATTCACTAAAGTTTTAGGAGTAGTAACTCTCCTTTTAATAGAGTCTAGAATATGTCTAAGCAAATGATGCTGTCGCAAAAGAGGAGTAATAAAGGTGATGGTGCATACTCATATATGTCTGTTGCTCATACTCTTACAAATACACAGCCTCTAAAGCTTAAAAAGAAACTAGCTAATAATGAGAAACTACAAAAGAGAATCTAATACAGTAGAATGGTGATTAAAAATGATCATCACGAATCTCCTAAAATTTACATTCATCAAAGGAATATGGATTAATAAAACTCTAATCCATTAAACAGCTCTGGCCAATAATCAAATGCAAACACAAATTAACCTACTATGAGAAACCAGATAATTGATTCAAGGTATCAAATTAATGATAATGGAGAAAAAAATAAGATTCAATCTTTCATTATGGAAAACAAAAAGAGCCTCGGTATCAATTGAATGCTAAGTATACAAATAAACATATAGATAATTTTTCGTATTGAAGCTATTTTTATTAAAACCCTTTTAATATTTAGATGATCAAACTATTATAAAATAAGTATTTTAGATAATAGGGGTTTTGGGGTTTTGGGGTTTTGGGG